CCCCAGCCCTGCCAGCGCCCCTCCCCCCCGCCCCGCAGCCCCTGCTCTGCCCCGCAGTCCTGCTGCTGCCCCCACTCTCAACCTACAGCCCCAGCTAACCCAGCCTGGGCTCCTCACAGCTCTGCCGGGCCCCTCACTCCCGACCCCTGGCCCCCTGCCCTGGTCTCTCCTGCCCATTTGACTGTTCTCCGCAGGGTATCAGAAAGACGCCCAGGTTTACCGATGCTCCTCGTGCAGCACAGTGGAGTGTCAGCTGCCCCTGGACTGCCCAGGTACGTGCTGCTCCCCGATGCCCATGGGGCGCTGTGATGCCCGGTTCCTCCAAGAGTCCCATAACCCCAGGAGCCCTGGCCAAACCCTGCCAAGGGGTTCAACCCAGGCTCCACAACCCGGTCCTGTGCTTTCGGCAGACACAGAAATCCCCTCATCTCCAGCCCCACGTCCCACCCCGAGTAGCCGTGTCCCAGTGCCGGGCGAGGGGTCCCCCCATCTCCAGCCCCACGTCCCACCCCGAGTAGCCGTGTCCCAGTGCCGGGCGAGGGGTCCCCCCATCTCCAGCCCCACGCCCCACCCGGGTAGCCATGTCCCAGTGCCGGGCGAGGGGTCCCCCCATCTCCAGCCCCACGTCCCACCCCAAGTAGCCGTGTCCCAGTGCCGGGTGAAGGGTCCCCCCTATCTCCAGCCCCACATCCCACCCTGGGTAGCCGTGTCCTTGCACCGGGCGAGGGGTCCCTGTATAACCAGCCTCACACCCCACCCCAGAGGTGGCTGCATCTCAGTGCAGGGCAAGGAATTCCCTGGGGGGAGGGGTTCCTATATAACCTACTCCCCATGCCCCACCCCAGAGCATCTGCATCACTATCCTTGCTTGGACTCCCCCCACCCCCGTTTTGCTCTGCCAGTGGAGGACGTGTGGAAGGCGGAGGGGAACCGGACGGCCCTGAGATGCAGGGTCCCCTTCCAGACTTCCCCCGAAGTGCGGATCGGCTGTGGTTGGGGGAGGGGTCCTGACTCGTTTTGTGGCTGCCCACTGAGGGAGCAGAAAAATCAATGGGGA